GAAGGAGGGAGAGGGAGGGAGGGGGGAGGAAGGGAAAGAAGGGAGAGAAAGAGAAAGAGAGAAAGGGAGGGAGAGAGAGAGAGGAGAGAGAGAGAGAGAGAGAGAGAGAGAGAGAGAGAGAGAGAGAGAGAAGAAAAGTGCCTGCCATAGAGCATAGAGGGAGTGGGTGGGTGGGACAGAAACTGGGGATAGGGATGGTGGGAAATGTACACTGATGAATGAATGGGTGTTGGAACTTTGTATGAATGAAACCCAATCATGAACAACTTTTTCTCACGGTGATTCAGTTAATAAATTCTAAAAAAATACTATTTTGATATTTGATAGTTTCCTGAGCATCACCAGGTGTGACCCTCAAAACAAACAAACAAACAAACAAGTTGATAATGACTTCATACATTAATTAGGATTTTTTTCTTATTTGTATGACTCTGAATCCAGGCTTTTGCTCCCTTGTGGGGCATGGTGGGATTTATAGAACTCTTTTTCATGTATATAATTCCTGCTTGTTTACCTGCGACTTGCTCATTCTCTTAGGCAGAACTTAGATTTTAATGAAGCAACCATCTGTGGAAATCCACATTGCATTCAAGGAATGACTGAAGATTCGTTTGTATGGCCCCTCTTAAGTAGTTTTGGGAGGAATGCTTCCGCATTGGTTTATTGTTGGTTTGTTTGGTTTTGTTTTTGTTTTTTGGGCCACACCCAGTGAGACTCAGGGAAACACTCAACTTTGTAATGGGCCAGTCATCTGGCACACCCAGAAATAAACTATGTGGACACTAGTGGAGAGAATTGACACTGGTGGTGGGATTGGTGTTGAAATATTGTATGCATAAGACACAATGGCTGGGGGCGAGATTGAAAGTATAAGCAGGAGGGCATTTGCCTTGCACACAGTCAACCTGAGTTTGAAGCCCACTGACACTCCAAAGGGTCCTGAGCACTGTGGATGTGGTCCAAAAGGCAAAACCTCAAACCGAAACCCCCAAATAAAACTGAACTATCAATAACTTTGTAGATCAAATAAAAATTTCAAAAATAATTAAAAATTGCATAGAAAAAAAGAAATGTCATTGATTTGGATAACTGTTTCCAGTTGGGCTATGCAATGACATGAAGGATAGTCACCAGATGAGTGTGAGGCTCCACCCCCATTACTTTTCTGTGTTAGCATGTGGGCTTGAAACACCCACAGACTCAGCAGAGGGACTCTCTGCACCCCTCCCCCAACAGTCTACAATAGCAAAATTTCCCCTAGGCCAACAGGGCAAGGGGAGGAAATGCCCTCTGATTTGTCTCCACAGCTCATTCCATCCATGCCTCAAGTCAGAAGATACACATGTCGGAAATGGCTCGAATGACTGGGTCACATGCTTTGCACAGGAAACCCTGAGCATGGCCAGCTAGAGGCCCCAAAGCAAATAAAAAGAGACACAGAAAACCAGCAAAACTTTTTTTTTTTGTGGGGGAGGGTTTGGGGCCACACCTGGTAATGTTCAGGGTTTACTTCTGGCTCTGCACTCAGGGATTACTACTGGCAGCCTCGGGGACCCACAAGGGGTGCTGGGGATTGAATTCAGCTTCGCTGTGTGCAAGGCTTATGGTCAACCCACTGACCTATTGCTCTGGGCCACAAACTGAAACCCCCAAATAAAACAAAGATCACTCCTAAGTTTCTGACAACAGAACATGGTTTCTTGAGAGGAAAGGGATTTTGGGGGGAAGAATAGGAAGAAGCCTACTTGATTGTGTTTAATGGGAATAGATGATTTTTTAAAATTTTTAAATGAAACACTATGAGATACAATTACAGACTTACACACTTTCACGACTACATTTCAGTCATACAATGCTTGACTATTCATCCCTCCACCAGTACCCATTCTCCATCACTAATGTTCCCAGTATCCCTCCTACCCCCATCTCCCCCATCCGACCCTGCCTCTGTGTCAGGCACATTTCCTTTTACTCTCTCTCTCCTTTTGGGTGTTATGGTTTGCAATACAGGTATTAAGTGGACATTGTGTTCGGTCTAAAGTCCACTTTCAGCACGCATCTCCCATCCTGAGCGGACCCTCCAAGCATGCTTTGCTTGATGGTCCCTTCTCTATCTCATCTGCATTTTCCCCCCAGCTTGTGAGGCCAGCTTCCAAGCCATGGAGCAATCCTCCTGGTCCTTATCTCTACTATCCTTAGGTGTTGGTCTCCCATTATGTTGCTTTATATTCCACAAATGAGTGCAGTCATTCTATCTCTGTCCCTCTCTTTCTGACTCATTTCACTTAACATGATACTCTCTCCATGTGGATCCACTTATATGAAAATTTTATGACTTCATTTTTTCTAATAGCTGCATAGTATTCCAATTGTGTAGATATACCAAAGTCTCTCCAATCAGTCATCTGTTCTCAGGCACTTGGGTTTTTTCCAGATTCTGGCTAGTGGGAATAGAATTTTATTGGTCGTGGGATATGGTATACATCTCATTGAATTCTTAAATCTATAGTCCTGGAACTAATAATTTATTGATGGCAGATCAATAAATAAGGAAGTTTCTTCTTTTGCCTTTTGCATGATATCTGGTATTTCTCAGTTATATTTCTTGGCGTTTCCAAGGCTTCTGAGTCTTTGTGCTCATGGATGTCCAGCCTCCTGTTGATCTTTGAAGGTGAGCTGAGATTGGGATCTCCTGTTTATGCATCTCTGCAAAGTGAAGTTTAATTCACATCAGCTACTGACAAATACCTGAATTCTTCATCTAGAGACTTTAGGCCAGAAAGACAATATAGCAAGAACAAAACCATTTTCATTGCCAAGAACCATCTGTTAAGGACACCATTTATTTAACCTTGAGCATTTGCTCACCAAAAGTGATGTAAATCAAAATCATTTTGCAGGAAAATAAATTCTCAAGGAAGTGAATGCAGTGTCCCCAGGGACACTGGGTGGGTTTTGGGGAAAAACAGCTTCACCAAGGGGTGATGTCCATGGAGGGGCCCTGCATGTGGAAGATCACTCAGAGAGTCAGAGAAGTTTCTTCTGGATGCCCCTCCTGAGGTGCCTGGGGCAAACCTGTGGTTCTTCGCTGGGGGATTTTGCTGGAAGCCTTTAAGGTGGGATGGCCTGTGGAGTATGTCGGTAGACAGAGCATCACTTGATGGTTTTATATACTTTACAGCACACATCTTTATAGAGGGTGAGATCTCCATGATGGGCAGTTTCCAATACGCCTGCTCGCCCCTCAGCTTGTTCCAAGTGGAAACCAGGTGCCATGTTGGGGTTTCCCAAAGAGAGCCCCGGGTGTTGAAGAGCTGAGCACTGTTCCCGGTCAGCACTATCTAGAACCTTCCAAAGGCTGCATTGGAGAAGGTGACCTCCTGGAACACCCTGAAGGACTGAGGCTCTAACCCACCCGTGGATTATTGGGATGTTAGAAAGGTTGATTCATGAAAGTGGCAAAGAATAAATGAATAAAATTGATGTTTTTTTTTGTTTGTTTTTTGGATCACACCTGGCTATGCACAGGGGTTACTCCTGGCTCTGCACTCAGGAATTACACCTGGCGGTGCTCAGGGGACCATAAGGGATGCTGGGAATTGAACCTGGGTCAGCTGCATGCAAGGCAAACGCTCTACCCGCTGTGCTATCTCTCCAGCCCTCAAAATTGATGGCTTTTTGGGTTACACCTGGTAATGCACTAGGGTTACTCCTGGCTCTGCTCTCAGGAATTACTCCTGATGGTGTTCAGGAGGTCATATGGGATGCTGGGAATAGAACTCGGGTTGGCCACATGCAAGGCAAATGCTCTACCTGCTGTGCTATCACTCAAGCTCCTAAAAAGTTTTTTCAAAGAGCTTAGAAAAAAATTTTTTTGGCTCTTTGGGCCGCACACAGCAGTGCTCAGGGTTACTCCTGGCTCTGCATTTAGAAATCACTCTTGGCAGTGCTTAGGGGGCCTATGGGATGCCGGGGATCGAACCTGAGTCTGTGGTGGGCAAGGCAAATGCCCTACCTGCTGTATTATCTCTCTGTCCCCGAAATTAGAAAACTCTTAAAGAAGAAAATGAAATGACTTTCATTTGAAGGGTGACTTCTCCACAAGGTGCCCCATCCAAGCCATGGGCAGGCTGATATCCAAGTCAAAAGTCATCAGTGAATTATGAAATTCATGGATGAATTCATTATTAAATTAAAAATGATCCCACTTTGGATGTCAAGATCTGTGGACTTGGAATTAAGAAACAAGTCTTAGAGGCATGCTCTCTCTGTCTCTCCTGGGAAGGCGGGTGAGTCTGACATTTGGAAATCTCTCCTCGATCTCTCCTTCCTGCTGTGAATTTTGGTGGTCCTCTGAGATGGGGACCCCAGGAGCCAGTCTGTCTCATTAGGAGTGCAGCTGTCTGGATCCCTCAAGGCCAAGCAAGTGCCATTAATTAGCTGCCGGGGTCCTGCAGGGGAGCAGCCACACAGACTCACATCTTCTTCCTAGAGCGATTGTCAGCCTTGGCGGATTCATGCCCGGATCTACCTTCCCGTCCACTTCAAGGAAAGCCCATCAGTCACCGGCATCCACTTAGCAGGAGCGGGCAGGGGACCCGGATTCAAATCATGAGCCAGCAGAGATATCGCAGAGGCCAGTGAGTTGCTGGAGAGATGGCGGTGTGGCAGGGGATGTGGGGGTCTTTCCCTCTGCAGACAGCCTAACTGTGCAGGGGCGGCCTCCCGCCTGCTCCCTGATAAAGGCGTTAGAGATTTTGCTGGAACAGTTCATGACGCTGAGGCTATTACCCTGAACTCTGACACTCGGCGAGATGAAGGGGAGGATTAACCTAACCAGGAAGAACTCAGGGTTGTCTCCAAGCAGAGACAGTGCATGGAGGAAATACATAGTTGGTGACCAAAATTAAAAAAAAAATCAGAAGTAGCTCCAGTTGTTTGATTTCCAGAAATCAGCTCAGGTGCAAGTGAGGTGAGGGTTAAGTAGGCTTTTAGTGGTCATGGGCATCTCTGAACTGTATTTGCTGCTCAAATATTGTCGACACTCGGCATAAATAGCACAAAAATTAGACGTGGGTGTCTACACCGATACCATCCTATGCAGCAGGTGTAGAAAGAGTGCACATGGCTGGGGCACTCCCTCCCCGTGGAATGCAAACACAGATCATCTCAGCTAGCCCGATGTAGCTGTGAGTTCAGCAAGGTGGCTGGCGCGGGTGCTATTTGGTGACTGTGTAACTGATGCGCACAGATTGCTCACTGCCACCAAAAGAGGGAAGAACCAGGCAGGATTCAGTGCTTGTTCCAGAAGCATCGCCAAGTTGGGATGTTGCTTAAGTGTAAATACTGCTTTATAAATTTGTTCAACCAGAAATACAGAGTTACTGAGAGGTACCTACATATATATTTATATATACATACATATATTTATATTTAAATAAAAAATTCTCAATTATATTTTATATAGATTTATATAACCCGTCGATAGCACAGCGGTAGGGTGTTCGCCTTACAAGCGGCCAAGATGGCCGACCCGAGTTCGATTCCTCCGCCCCTCTCGGAGAGCCCGGCAAGCTACCGAGAGTATTCGATATGCCAGACACAGTAACAACAAAGTCTCCAATGGAGACGTTACTGGGCCCGCTCGAGCAAATCGACGATCAACGGGAGGGCCTTTACCTTTACCTTTACCTATATAACCTGTATTATGTCATATGTATATATTTTAATATACCAATATATTTATATTTATACAGATTTGTTTGGGCTGGAGCGATAGCACAGCGGGTAGGGCATTTGCCTTGCATGCGGCTCACTTGGGTTTGATTTCTCTGTCCCTCTCGAAGAGCCCCACAAGCGACTGAAAGTATCCTGCCTGCACAACAGAGCCTGGCAAGTTCCCCGTGGCATATTCGATATGCCAAAAACAGTAACAACAAGTCTCACAATGAAGATGTTACTGGTGTCCGCTCGAGCAAATCAATGAACAACGGGAGGACAGTGCTACAGTGCTACATAGATTTGTTTATTATCTTTATATCTATATAAGGGCTGGAGCGATAGCATAGAGGGTAGAGTGTTTGCCTTGCACACAACCAACTCGGCCGACCCAGGTTCGATTCCTCCACCCCTCTTGGAGAGCCTGGCAAGCTACCAAGAATATCTCGCCCTCACGGCAAAGCCTGGCAAGCTATCCGTGGTGTATTTGATATGCCAAACACAGTAACAAATGTCACAATGGAGACGTTACTGGGCCTGCTCAAGCAAATCAATGAACAACGGGAGGACAGTGACAGTGATATCTATATAAGATATATATTATATTTATTATAGATATTTATTTGCATATGGATTATATTTAAATCTATATAGATTAAACTGTCACTATCACTGTCCTCCCATTGTTCATCGATTTGCTCGAGCATGCCCAGTAACGTCTCCATTGTGACACTTGCTACTGTGTTTGGCATATTGAATACATCACAGATAGCTTGCCAGGCTTTGCCATGCGGGCAAGACACTCTTGGTAGCTTGCCGGTCTCTCTGAGAGGGGCGGAGGAATCAAACTCGGGTCAGCCATGTTGGCTGCTTGCAAGGCAAATGCCCTACCCACTGTGCTATTGCTCCAGCCCATATAGATTACTTTTATTATTTGTTTGTTTGTTTGTTTGTTTGTTTTGGGTCACACCCAGCAATGCACAGGGATCACTCCTGGCTCTGCACTCATGAAACACTCCTGGAGGTGCTCAGGGGACCATACGGGTCACTGGGGATCGAACTGAGGTCAGCCATGTGCAAAGCAAATGTCCTCCCTGCTGTGCTATTGCTCCAGCCCCCTATTAATTACTTTTATATCTGCTTTCATTTCTTTGCCCCAAGGTGTCTCTGCACTTTGGACCTCCACAATGTCACAGGGGCCGTGGAGTTCCTCCTCCTGGGGCTCTCAGATGACCCCCAAGTCCAGCCCGTCCTCTTTGGCCTCTTCCTGTCCATGTACCTGGTTACTGTCACAGGGAACCTGCTCATCATCCTGGCCGTGAGCTCCGACCCCCGCCTGCACACCCCCATGTACTTCTTCCTCTCAGTCCTGTCTGTGACTGACATCGGGTTCATCTCCAGCACGGTCCCCAAGATGATCCTGGACATCCACACCCAGAACAGAGGCATGGCCTACGCCAGCTGCCTGGCTCAGCTGTCTTCCTTTAATCTTTTGGGGTGTTTGGACAGTGTCCTCCTGACCGTGATGGCCTATGACCGCTTTGTGGCCATCTGTCATCCCCTGCACTACCCTGTCATCATGAACCCCCGGCTCTGCGGACTGCTGGCTCTGGCATCTTTCCTTATCAGCCTGGTGGAGTCCCAGCTGAACGTCCTTGTCATCTCACAGCTGGACTTCTGTCCCGTGGTGGAAGTCCCCCACTTTTTCTGCGACCCACCTCAGCTCCTCAAGCTTGCCTGTGATGACACCTCCACCCAGAACATCCTAATCTACATCATTGCTGCCCTCTTTGGGGCACTTCCAGCTTCTGGCATCTTCTTCTCTTACTACAAAATCGTGTCCTCCATTGTGAAAGTCCCAGCCAAAGGGGGACGGCACAAAGCCTTCTCCACCTGCGGCTCCCACCTGGCTGTGGTTTGCTTGTTCTATGGAACAGGCCTAGGGGTCTACCTCAGTTCCACCCTCCCAAGCGCCTCACGGAATGGTGTGGTGGCCTCCGTGGTGTACACCGTGATCACTCCCATGCTGAACCCCTTTATCTACACCCTAAGGAATAGAGATATGAAGAGGGCCTTGCAGAGGTTGTTGCCTAGAACTGGCCCCATGTGACGAACAGGTTTTGTCTGGATGTGCAGAACAGCGGTGACATCCTCAGCTCTTGACCGACTGGCCCTTGGTGTCCCATCTTTTATGCTTCTCCTGCCTGTCATTCCACATGATGCTTTATATTTAAATATGGTCTTCCTGGGAGCCAGAGAGATAGCACAGTGGGCAGGGCAACTGCCTTACATGCAGCTGATCTGCATTTGATCCCCAGCACTGCATAGGGTTCCCTGAGCACCTCCAGAAGGGATTACTGAGTGCAGAGTGAGCCCAGAGTCAGCCTTGAACACCGGTAGGTGTCACTCAGAAAACAAGCAAACAAATAAATAAATAAATCTTTGGGGTGGCTGGGACTATACATGCAGTGTTCAGGAATTACTCCTGGTTCTGTGCTCCAGGATCACTCCTAGCCAGTGCTGAGGGGACCAGATGCAACCAAGTAGGGGCTGATTCTGTACAAGGCAAATGCCTTAAGCCATGCTTTCTAGCTGTCTGCACTCTAAATATGTTTTATTCTGGCACAGATTGAATGTGCTGGAGGGATCTATGATCTGACTGACATGTGTCAAACTGCTGTATATTTGATCTCATTGCACCCGAGACCTGGATATCTTATAGAAATGCACAATTTTCTGTGAAGTGTATGTGACACATAATCTTTTCCATGGTCCAAGGTACATACGCAGGCCTTCAATGACATGCATCGGTGCTGTTAATGTGAGAGATTCTCTGACACCGGTTCTTTTTTTATTTTTTGTGTTTGGGTCATACCTGGCGGTGTTCAAGGACCACTTCTGGAGAAAGGGACTTACGGGATGCGGGGATTGAACCCAGGTTGGAAACATGCAAAGCGACTGTCTCATCCACCATCCTATCTCTCTGGCTGTCTGTGATGAGAACGTTCATGCATCTTTCAAATACACAATGCGGGGTCGTTCACTATTGACACAGACTGAAACTTGTGCCCTCGCCAGGTTCTTATTACATAGCCCAGATGATTAAGAATGGGAAGAAATGGAGTTTGGCTTTGAAACTATCAGTGGGTACATACTACAGAAATGTGGGATGCCCGGGATCCAACCCATCATGCTGGCCGCATGCAAGTGCCCTACCCACTGCCCTACCCACTGCTCAGACACTGACACCAGTGGTATTTTTGTTTGTTTGTTTTTTACATTTTCGGGCCACACTTGGTTTTGCTCAGGGGCTACTCCTGGATCTGTATTTAGGAATTACTCATGGCAGGCTAAGGGAAACATATGAGGTACCAGGAATCAAACTGGTTGGCTGCGTGCAAGGCAATCGCTCTCCCCACTGTACTATTGCTCCTGACTTTGATTCCTTTTTTGTTTGTTTTGGCTTTTTGGGTCACACCAACGATGCTCAGGGGTTGTTACTTCTGGCTCTGCACTCAGTAATTACTCCTGGTGGTGCTCCAGGGACCATAAGGGATGCCAGGAATTGAACCCGGGTCAGCCATGTGCAAGGCAAATACCCTCCCCGCTGGACTATCGCTCCGGCCTTCTGACATTGGTTCTTGATCCTGAACCTTTGAGAAGTACCCAGAGTACTTGAAAACTCATCATTCAAGTCCCACCACATCCTATTAATTAATTAGACTGGGGTGTGGCCTAGCAGAGAGAGATACTTTGTCCTTGCTTCCTTTTATTTATTAAAGAAAGAGTATTTACAACCTCATTACACATCTGGGGGTACAACATTGTAAATGAACATCTATATATTCAGCATGTTGACCTCTAAATATCTGGTCTCCATCTTTGGCCCACACAGTGAGCTCATTTTACCCAACTGACCTGCAGACCTTTCATCCCCTCTGAATAATGACTCGTTTATTCTTATAATTTAAGATGAGGTTTTAGTCCCTGCAGGGGGAAACTCAAGGGCTACTTTTTCCTCAGTGCTCAGGAGTCATGCCTGGCCATGCTCCAGGGATCTTGTGGTGCCAGAGATGGCATCTGGGTCTCTGGCATGCTAAGCATGAACGCAGTCCACTGGGCTACCTTTTTTGGCCCTTGCTTTGTTTCCTTTCATGTAGGTAGTTGTTGCTTTTGCTTTGGTGGTGAGTTTTTTTTTCCCCTCCTCAGGAGACCACACCTGGTGGTGTTCAGGGAATACTCATAACTCCTACTCCAGTGCTCCCAGCCTTGTCCATGCAGTGCAGGGGATCAATTCAAGTCTCCTATATGCTCAATATCAGCTTCAGTTCCGTGGGTCACTAACTAGTTTGTTTCTTTATTTTTCTTTTTTTGCTTTTTGGGTCACACCCAGCGATGCTTGGGGGTTACTCCTGGCTCTGTGCTCAGGAATTACTCCTGGTGGTGCTCAGGGGACCATATGGGATGCCGGGGATTGAACCTGGGTCAGATGAGTGCAAGTCAAACACCCTACCCGCTGTACTATTGCTCTGGCCCCTGTTTCTTTTTCACAGGTGAGTCAAGTGTTTGTTTTGCTCTGTTTCATGGATTTTATTTACAGTGTATTTCACTTAACATCCTGTACTACGCTGGGTTATTTTCCAAGCCGGCACAGTTTTATGCCTTTCATCTTCCCTTCACTATTTAAACCACTGCTCTGATAAAATTGCTTTCATTAAAACAACTAGTGTCTATTTTCTTCAACATGGAGAAATTTATAAGTGAGCCAAAGGCATGTCTAACCCTGCTTTTGGAAGATTACAAATTGAACTGGGGGTGGGGTGGGGATAAAACTCACAGATTATTGTGATGACATACTTTGGTCCAAAACATGCAATTTAACTTCAAGGTCATTTATATAATATTCAAACTGGGCTGTTAGAGCTGCAAGTCATCAGTGATTAAAAGCAAATGAAAGATTTTTTTTTTATTGCTTTAACACAGCCTCAGCTGTTTTTATCCACAGTTCCCAGGTTTTTCACTGTTTTCAAGAGTGTAAAGAATAAAAAGGTGCTTGGACTTAGAAAAACTGGGGCCGGAGCAAGAGGACAGCAGGGAGGATGTTCACCTTGCACGCAGCCGACCCAAATTCGATCCCTGGCATCCCATAAGGTTCCCTGAGCACCACCAGGAGTAATTTCTGAGTGCAGAGCCAGGAGTAATCCCTGAGCATCACCTAGTGTGCCCCCCAAAAAAGACAGAAAGAGAAAAGTTTACAGAAAAGTAGAAGAGAAATTAACTCCCCAAGTTGGAAGGAACTTAGCATAGGACTCTCAGTTAATCAAGTCTCCAGGTTTGCTTTTGTTTTTTTTGGGGGGGGATTTTATAAGAAAACTGGGTCTTAGTGTATCTTATACAAAGCTGCAGAGGAACTCCCCCTCCCCATTTGATTCCTAGAGGAGTCTGATTAATTGAAGGCCCTTTTGTGTTGCTAAGATAAACTTCTCCATTCCCTTAGGCTGGGAGACTGTGGGTGAAGTGAAAACCTTTCAGGGTATCTGTTTGCCCATCTGCTGGGTGATTACCCATTTTCTCTAAGTATCTAAGGCTTGGGGAAGTCCAAGGCTGGGGGTAGAACTCATGGCCTTGGGACATTGTCCACTTCCTCCTACTCAAGGAGTCCTGGTGTTTGCAGAATGTGTGAAAGGTAGAATGGGACAGCTTCCCCAGAGCCTCTGGCAGGGCAAGTGAGGAAAAGGGAGGCTTCTCTATCTGCTTGCATGAGGACTTGGGGTGCAAGTATTATTAGTGTTTCAGACGCACATAGTCATTGCTTCGCTCTCACCCTGGAGAGCCAATGTCCCTCCACCGCTGTCCCTATGATGTAGTCAGGCAGGCAGGTAGGGAACGTCTCCTCCCAAGGCAATGGCAATAAATTTCCTGGGAAGTAATAGCCCTGAAGTTTCGAAGTGGACCTTGCAGAAAATTGGAACTAATGCCTGATAAGACCCCACCTGGTCCAAGTCTGTAACAGGCCCTGAGGAGGCTGGACCCCTACAGAGATGATGAACTTCAGCACATACTCACACACACACACACACACACACACACACACACACACACACACCACACACACACACACTTAGGGACTTGAAAGAGAGGAGGCTGGACCCCTACAGAGATGATGAACTTCAACACACACACACACACACACACACACACACACACACACACACAAAATTAGGGACTTGAAAGAGATTCACCAGAAGCTTCAAAACTGTTCCTTTGATACAATACCGAATCAACCTCCACTTGTCAGAAGACTCCAGACTAAGGAATGTGCATATAAAAGCCGGTTGTAAAGGTCATTCAGGGCTTCTCTTGCTTGGGTGCGGTGCTCTCTTTCTCTCTCTCCTCCCCTTCAAAAAAACCTCCAAATAAAATCTGTTTGACTTCAAACTGCTTGTCTACTCCTGAAATTCTTTTCTGCTAGGTGAGACAAGAACCTAGTAACTCTGGGTCCCTGATGGCAGAGGTGGATGGGGAGAAAATGTTCGTGTTTCTCCTCCCTGCCTCACGTAAGCCACCTGTGGGGCCCACGGACATCACCTAGGTCCTTCCCTTTCTCTCTCTCTCTCCCTCCCTCCCTCCCTCCCTCCCTCCCTCCCTCCCTTCCTTCCTTCCTCTCTTCTTTCTTTCTTTCTTTCTTTCTTTCTTTCTTTCTTTCTTTCTTTCTTTCTTTTGCTTTTTGAATCACACCCTGTATTGCACAGGGGTTACTCCTGGCTCATGCACTCAGGAATTACATCTAGCAGTGCTCGGGGGACCATACGGGATGCCGGGAACAGAACCCAGGCCGGCCGCGTGCAAGGCAAATGCCCTACCTGCTGTGCTATCGCCCCAGCCCCCTAGGTCCCTTTCTGTCTCCCCAAATTAGTGATATAGGCAGAATCTCGCTGTTTGTTCTTGTTTGTTTGTTTCCGGGTCACACCTAATGGTGCTCCAAGCTCACTCCAGGCTCTCTGCACACAGGGCTCGTGCCTAGTGGGGATCAGGAAACCACGTGGGGCACCAGGGACCCCATCCAGATGGCCCAGATGAACTATGTCCAAAGTAAGCACCGTTACCTGC